TGTTGAGATGTAGGTGTTGTGACAGCAGGAGGGAGTAATAGAATCATATTGTTTTTATTCAAGTGCCAAGTAATTAAAGAGACAAAATTGCCAGTCTTTCCCTGTTGCATTTAAGTTCAACTGCTCTATGTCCAGAATCAGTAGTGCAGTAACTGGCTGAAAAGCGGATGGTGATTGCAACCTTAGCTCTCAATTAAGCAGAGAGAGGATTCATTCTCCCATACCACCATTATAACTCAGGTGAACCATATTTAAGACGATAGTATTTACAAAGTTGATAGCAATTCTTGTGCAGAAAACAGGAAAGAATATTATCCACAAATAGTGTGATGTATCTGGAAATACAATGGAGAAGTGGAAATTCTGGAAAACGGAAGGAAAATCTGTCACAAAGCAGAGAAAAAGTGTTAAGTTGATGACTTATGCTACTATGTGGATGTATTGTTTCTCATCTGGACTAGTCCAAATGGGAATCTCATCTGATGGACAAGCCTGTCCTTGATGCCAGCCGCTGATTATAGGGTTCTGCATGATTTGAAACTACATTGTGGTTTAACTTTCTTGCTTAGATAGGAAACAGTGAGTAAATGCATGCTAGGATAAGCCCTGTGCCACAGAGTAAGTGGATTAATGAGTACAAACTGTAAGATACAGCTTGACACTGCAGTCATTTTTTTTTTTTTTCCTACTGATGCGGTAAATGAAAATATCTGTTTCACGAAATGCAGTAGAAAACAGGAAGAAACAATGATTTTCCTTTGGCGTGGAATGCAAGGGTATCATTGTTCCATAATCTGCTCATGTCCATAATCAGATACAATGGAGAATAATTCCATAGCAGAATGTGTGATAAGCACTTAGGGAGGGAAAGAATTATCAGACCTATTACATTTCTCATGGCCTTTGCTGTGGACCCAGGAAGGGCTAGACCTGCTAAGAACTGCTGTGAGACTAGTAAAGATTTAGGATTGCTCTTTTGCTGGGAAAGAGATGAGCTGCTAGTGGATTTATCTGGGTAAAAGCAGCTCTGCCCTGTTGATTCACAGCGCTAGCAGATGGAGCTGCATTAGTGCTGTGCACTGAAAATGGCTTCAGCTAAACATAACCCTCTCCTCTTCCCATACGGGTATGTGCCAGATTTTGCCAGCACTTGCAGATTTCTCGTGTCAGTATTACTGAGGTGAACACAAAACTAAGGAGGGAATCTGCTTCGCCCTGTTAAAGTGGAGTTCACATCTTCATGCTTGGCAATCAAATGGCATGCTTGGCATCAAATGGTTGAGAAAACCAGCATTTTACTTCTAACATTTCTGAAATCTTAATCCTGCTATCCATCCTCCCTCCCTGCATTTGTATTCAGCTTTTCTTTGAAACCTCAAATATTGCACAGACGAGGATCTAAATGAAGATTAGGCTACATGAAAAAAAAAAAGTTCTTATCTACATTTTTTTTTTTTTGGTATTCATAGCAACTGATCTACCAGTGGCATTTATTATGCATCGATGTTTCAGTGCTCGTAACTGTTTCTTGATAAGAATTAAATCTGGTTTTGGAATATTGAACATTTGAATCTTCCTGTTATTAATAATTAAAAGATTGCTATGAGTTATATGTACATTTCAGGTCACTGCCTTTCTTTTTAGTGGCATTTTATAACAATCTTGGTTTTTTTTTTTTTTTTTTTTTTTATCAGCTTTATCTCTAAGATAGTCCTAGTTTTTAGGAGTGTAGAAAACAGGTACTATAATTAAACTCTACTGTCAATTTTCAAAGTATATAAAAAACTTTATAACTGATAGGTGTATTACAACTATTCTTATGTCAACCACATTATACAATCTACAGTATGTAGGGTTTTGCATATGATTTCTCTTTGCCAGAAAGGAGATGGTAAACCACGGTATGGTTATTCAAAATTGTCTACTTTTAAAATCCATTAAATTTATCAACTATAGTGTTCCTTAACTAAGTTGATGGCAAACATATATTATCATCAAGGTCTATTTCTTTTTATCAGCAAAGCACAGCCTGTGATGTTATTCCAGGAGGCACGATGCATTCGAAATTTATAATACTGACTGAGAAGATCTGGTTCTCAGAAGTAATGCAATATACAGTACAAATTCTGATATCTGTACCAGCAATAGAAGTGTAATAAATGCTTCAGAATAACAATTAACATGCACATCATTTTTTGGGATAGGATTTTGCTGTTGTTATATTCGTTTATATTCTGTGGAATGAGCTGACTTGGTTCTGCTGAACTGAATAGTGTCGGATAATTCTGACCAAGACTAGCACTTGAGAAGAGCAAGAAGATGAACACCTGACCCTGGTTTAAAACCAATTTATTAATAACTTACTAAGGATCCATCAAATTTATTTTAGCTTATAACACAGATAATAAACTTCCAAGGGATTTTCAGACATCCATAATATATGCCTGTTTTCTTCTCTATATTCTGTCTACTGAAGACCTAATTCCTGAAAAGAATATGGGAAAGAAAACCAGAGGGTTCCCATTCCATGATACTTGTTTTAAATATATTTACTTTTATTTTTATAATAATTGCAGATGTGATAACCAAGTACTGTGTACTTGTGATTGTGTACAAGTTTCCCAAAAAGCAAGTGTGAAGGGGGAAGAAATTTTTAAATAATCCCTGGTAATTTCTTTTAAATCCTAGCTTAAATTACATTGCTCTGATTCTACTAATAACTACAAATGATGCAGTCTGTTCCTGATAAAATGTGTCTTTTCCACAAGAAGACCCTAGGCAAGTGATTATATCTAGGAAGTAGGTGGCATTGATTCATCACCCTTATGGAATAAAACCTTAAAAACCTTTAAGCAGTACTTCAGTGGGTGGTAATATTTATCTCCTCAGATTAAATCCTAATGAGAAATTTCAAAGAGGTTGTTCCAAAATGGTGTTTTAGAATACTTTGTAATAAGGAGAGTGTGATAATCATGAAATACAGGTTTTACACCCGACTGTTGAATTCTGCCTAATTGTCATACACTTTATCCATACACAGTTATCCATGGTTAGAACTGAAAATATAGTTTTCCGGGAACTGAAGAAGGAGCAGAATCTTCATATTTTAACGATAGGTTGCATTTAACTTCGCTCTGAGCTGGAGGTCATTACTTTCACTATTTTTCAGATAAATTTTACTCCAAGATCTCTCTTTTAACAGAGATTGCAAAACTCGGATACATGGTTTGATGGTAGTCTGAGAGTTATTGGGTTATCATATGTTTGTCAGATCTGCAGAGCCTTTTAAGTGGAGTTCTTAATAATGAATGTTTGGTAAGAGGAAAATATAGGGTAGTAGTAGTCTGCAAATTCTGAGAATCACTTCCTGAATTTTTATCTTTTTGGACTTATGGCAGTATTTCTTGCAGCTAAGTACTTATTGGAGACCTCCATGATATTCAAGACAAGGTCTAAGTAAACACAAATACTTTACCTACTAAATTTGCATCCCCTAACACAAGAAAGGCAATGCCAAACTGGAGTTGAGATGGAGGACACCCAAAATGGTCAGAGAGGCTACCTTATGTTCTGATTTACTTCAGCCAGGAAGCCTTGCTTACATTTTTAAAAAATATTAATTCTCACCGAAACGCCGCCCTCTAATCATAAGATTAATGTGGACTTTGATTTTTCGGGACTTGTGTAAGTTTGTAGTTTAAAATACGAGAGAGTTTCCTCCCTGCTGGCTTGCGTACACGGTTCCACTCTTTAGTTACCACAGACACTAGTGGAGGGTGATGTATATTGATGTCACATCCAACATAGGGTTTGAAACACATTAGGTTATCAAGGTGGGCAGTGCACTCAGACCTCACATTTTAAACAAGCAAAGTCTGCATAGTGTCTTATAAAATGAGCCTATTGATGTATGCTTTAGAAGGTGTTTTCTAGATAGAATATATCTACACACACACACACACACATATATGCATATACACACAGCTGCATACATCTGTTTGAACACACAAGTCTACCTGCTAAAGTAGATTCTTTATTAGAACTTAAAATACTTTTCTGTGGTTTTCAAGTGCTGCAGAGCTTGGTCAGAGCCAAATAAAGAAAAGGCAATTTTTTAGCAGTAAATTATTTCATTCGGGTGTAGCTTAAATCATAGGAGAATCCCTTAGTTTTTTACTGAATATCATAACCTGCCTTCAATGTCCTTTGAAATGTAGGGATAGAAGTCTCCCATTTCCTGAAATACACATGGATGTCAGAGTTCAATATGTAAACTCTTAGAAGCAACAGTAATATCTGTCATTTTGAATGAATACAAATCTGTAACAATCTGTGTTTGTACAGTCCCAGTGGAAACATGTGGTGTCAGCTGTGCTTGCAATACTTTAAAGGCTTTATTAAGTCAGCTGGCAACACACCCTATCTCCAGGCACTGAATTTTATGGCAAAAGAGCTAAGAGACTGAACACTTTTTTTTACCTCTCCCTCCTCATGTCAACTAGCTTCCAAACCACAGGAACTGATTTCTGAAACAGCTTATGGGTGTGTTGCTATGTTGTTAATAGCCACAATATAGTTTACAGGTGAGCATTTATGCCCACCCACATAGTCTTAAACATACTCAGGCACACACTGTCAAGTAGCTTTATGCAGTTTGGAATAAACTCCATAAACTCCAGGTTATTTCTATGGAGCAAAAGAGAAACTATATTTATGAATATATATATCTATATATATATAAAATATTTGTTAGCTAATGCAGTTATCTGAAAGGAGACTATGCAAAACTGTGTAAAGGTTCTGCACTGCATTGCACAGCAAAAATCCATAGATTACCCCTATAGAAGCCTTTTAAGGACTGTGATTATTGTTTGTTTTAATTTAGACAAAATTGTTTAATCAGTAAATGTTAAGATATTAGTTTGCTTAAGTCATGTTTTGAGAATTAGTTGTTCAAAGACCGAACTTCTCAGTGACATTCAGAATCTTTTCTCTTGCAGCCATTTCGTAGAGTGACGTTTTCTGTTGTGAGTCAGCCTCAGGACCCGCATCAAGGGTCATTGCAGAGTTGCTATGACAGCGGTCTGGAGGAGTCAGAAACACCAAGCAGTAAGAGTTCATCAGGGCCAAGACTGGGTGCCCTTCCACTCCCAGAGGACAACTACGAAAGGACTACGCCGGATGGCAGTGTTGGTGAGGCAGAGCATATGGAAAATGGTAGGGGCAAACACAACATTCACACACATAATCACACTAGCAAGTGATACTAAGTAGACTTTTGGAAAGGTCAGACCAAAACAAATAAATAAATATCTTAAATAGTTTAAATTGTAATTATTTTATTTTAAAGTCTGTTAAAATGAGGATATACCAAATAATGGAACATAACATTCCTATTAAAATCAGCACTTTCTTTTCGTTACATGATTATAAAACTATGCTGCAGAAGCAGTTAAAACCTTGAAAAACAAATTTCAGGAGAGGGCTGGGAAAATTGTAATTTAATTAAAAGTTCTCTTTTTAGATAAAGGACCATAATGGACATGTGTTTTCTTTTTCTTCCTTTTTTTTTCCCCCCCCCCCCCGCCAACTACTAGGAAATTTCCCAGAAAGTAATATACCCAGCATTAGGAAAAAGAAAGTAGGATTTAAAAAATGTGTACTAGAGAATTTCCTTTCTCCCCAAAATGTTACACAAACTGTTTTAAAAATAGCACTGAGTGTCAATTCAATACTTGATTGTTTAGAAAAAAGGAACATTACTTTCCTTTTTTTCCCCACATTTTGTTAGGCAGAATACTTTTATGACATCTCCTTTAAATTCAGAGTCCATCTATATAGAAGGGGAAAACTGAACCGTTGTGCATTTTATGAGGGATTCTTGAGCACTTAAAATATTGTGGTAGTTTAAATCTTAATTTTCATTTTCCTTTTCTAAAATTATTGAGAAAATTTAAAAATATTTTCAATTTGAAATGTATTTCATAAACTCTGAAACATTTATTGCCCTCTATTTATTGGCCTCCATCTACAGTCTGATGAAGTCAGTAATTGACTTCGTTATCTCAGGATTTGCCCCAGAATATATTGTTGTGTGTCAAAATGTACATTTTTTTTTTGATAAACAAAGAAATAATGGGTTTGTTAATCTCATGACAATAGGGGTATATGTAAGAAGAGAGTATATTTTCTGGTATAGAATAAATGAACAAGTTTGGCTAAGTACATAGCCAACCTTGGCCTTTTTTTCAGAGATTACAGCAGTGGATAATTCTTTTTTTTTTTTTTTTTTTTTTGGTCTTTTCTGAAATAGGTGTATTGACTCAATAAAATATTATTTTCCATGATAAGATAATGCTAAAATGCAGTATATATGAAGACTGAAGAAAAGTTAGAGCAGTCTGCATTTGCTTATAATGTCTATTCCAAAAGCAAATGACTATTTCAAATTATGCGTATGAATTGATCAAAAAAGCAAATGGTTTCATCTATCTAAAAACATGATACCGGTTAAATGTGTGTGTAAGTGTTTATATAGTTTATACCCAGATGTTTGTATAAATATATATTTTTTTTAATTTGCTTTTTATCCTGTGTGTATAATAGGGGAGAGAGTAGTATTGTTAGCAGAAAAAAAGAACAAAAATAAAAAGGGATTTGTGGAGATTAATCCTAAATTGGAATGATTATTTGATTATCTACTTTGTAGTGAGATTTTTCTAGTGAAAATGAAGCTAAATGAAAATGAAGCTAAATGAAAATGAAGCTAAACAATTTATTCTTTCCCCTAGACATACAGCAGTGTAGTAGAGATTAATTTCCAAGTTCAGAAAGTACATTAGAGTGCATATGAACCATCTCAGAAAAACTGCAGAACAACTATTAAGCATGCCTTTTAATAAATTCTGTACTCAGTGAAAATAACCATACTTTCTGAAGTAATTGGAAGTGAAGAGCAATATGAATTCAGTTCTTGAGACGTATCAAAAATAGTTTGTTTAAACTTTTGAGTTGATGCAAGAAGTAGCATTGCACTCTACTAATTGATGTACTTTAGACATTGCTTTGATTTTTTGGTACATGTTCATTTATGTTTGGCAAGGTGAATTTGCCTTCAGAATAATAGCTAAATAGTTATACATAGAGTAAATAGAAACAAAGAGCTAGAAAAAGTCTGTTATCTGATGAATAAGTGAATGAAAGCAAAAACATAATTTAAAAAAAACAGTGTCATGACTTGCATATGGTAATCAAGAATTCCTTCTTTATAAAATCTTAAACTGAGACCTTTGAAAGGTGGGTGACATTGTGATGAAAATTATACTCTACAGACTTTTGGATTATGCTGTCACTTTTTTAAAATAAGATTTCAACAGTGGCTTGTCATCTGCCTCTAGAAATTTTTGCTAACATTAATCTATAAATAATGACAGATCAGGATGAAATGTACCTTTGTTCCTTCATATATATGTAACATTAAATATTTGAGTGAGAGTTTTCTGTGATCTGATTTTTAAGTCCACCTGTATTTTAGATATTTAAGTACAGTTGTATTGTTCAAGTTCTAGTAATGTAATCTTCAGGATGAATGGATCATTCTGACATAAATAGAATTGGAATTGAAACCTGTCAAGTATTCATTTGTCACATTTAATTGGAATCTAGGTAGTCTATAGTGCTTAGCTTGGTTAGGCTTTAATCAGAATTTGTATTGGGTTTTCATGCAGATTTTCCATGGAAACAGCATTTTGAAAGCTATCATAGTTCTTAATTCTTATTACTTCTGAATTTGCCATTTAATTTTGGTTGGTGTGAAAAAAAATGCAGTTCTAAATAAATGTTTTGTAGTTACTTTCATTTTAAAGTTTGAAATGAGAATTTTCAGCACAATAACAGAAGCCCTCTAATATTTTTGATACTTTTTTGTACAAAGTGAGAAGACTTAGCAAAACAAAAGAAGGAGGCAGAGTGCACATTTGGACTCTAAATTTGATTCAAATTTGGCTGCCTGTTTGTTGGTTCTCAGGTTAGAAAGAGTAAAATGCTAGAATGAAACAACAGGGAAAAGGCATTGGTTTTGTTAGAATAAGCCACACAAGAGATGATCAGCCCACATTATTGTCAGATGTAGACTGAAGTTTTCTTCTGATGATTAGCCGTGGTGTCAGATGTAGAAGAAAAAAAAAAATCAGAAGAAAAAGGAGTGCTAGCAGATTGGCTGTGAAAATGCAGTATGAAAAGATCTTTTAATTAGTAAAATATGCAGAACCAGAAGAAACTTCTGAGTTAATTTATCCCCTGCCCTTGGAGCTTTCCTTAGAAGGAAATTCTACTTGTGTATGCAGCCGCCTTCTCTAATTTGGTGTTGGAATGGCACTGTCTTAATGTAAATTGCACAGTGATTTCTTGAGAACATTTTTATTACATTTTTGGTTGTGTGTTATGGTAAAGAAATTACCATGTTAGATGAATTTCCTGGTCTTTTAGACTTTGACTTCTTTTTCTATTGTATCTCAGGGGAAGGTAAAAAAGCCTAATGGTAAATTACCTTACCTTCTAACAATTAGTAATCAGCATGTGCTAGAGCCTAATCATTTTTTAAAAAATTACCAGTCTAATTTATCATAAAGCATTAACTCTGTTCAAGTTACTGGCCTCAAGGATATCTCTTGACAGTGAGTTCCTTTTAAACTATCAAAGTTAGGATGATTTTATTTTTATTTGCTTTTTAGACTTATTCCTTCCTTTTTAGATTCATTTCCTTTCAGTTTTAGTAATTTCTTTTTTAGTATAATCACAAGAGATGTTACATTTTACTTTTTACATACTATGTGTTATTACATTTCCATATAATTTTTTTCTGGACTATATATTCCTAGGCTTTTCATTCTTTGATCATCTATGTACCTGTTATTTTTTTATTTCCTTGAACCTCTGATGTTTCTTCTAACGTAGGAATAGCTAAAGATGAACATTTATCATTTGCCAACAGACAATACAGCCTCTTCATAGTAATTTCTTTTTCATTAATTACATGTACAGGCTCTAAGCAGAGCTTTTTACTGTTCTGTTTTTAATAATGCCCATTCACCTAGCTCTGTTAGGTCTTTCATATCTTTTACAGTTTTTTTGGAAATATTTCATTATATTTCAGAAATTTTAAATTTTGTTTTGGTATGGTTTGGTTTTGGATCTGTGCATTTTCTATTTATTTGCACATGTAGTGGACAAATCAGTTTGATTTTTTGTCTAATTCCATGGGAATACATAGAGCAGCAAAGCTGCAGCACTGTCGATTTCAACTCAGATATTCTTCCCTAGAGATTTGTTTCCAAGCTGTGACAATTAGACTGTTTTTCACACCTGAGATACCTGTTTTAAAGTTAGCACTGGTATTTCTACATGAATACATCCTTGGTCTGCAACATAGACCATATTTCAGTATTACAAATTTAGACTGTAAGTGTCAAAGATCTGATATCACTTTAAACAAGGCATTCATGGTATGCAAGATAAGCATGCAAGGGCTGAACAGACTATTATAACATACACATTTTGATCAAGAAAAAATTCTCATCCTTGCTTCTGACAAATCCTACCTGTAATTATGCACACAATGATCTCTGGATTCTGTGAACCTAGCAACATGTATGGGTAATGTTTTGGAACGTACATATTCAGAGCTGTAGTGTGGCTTGGCCCAGTTCATTGTGAGAATGGGTATTCTGGTAAGACCTGTAGAAAGAGGGAGAAAAATATAAGTGGTCTTTAAAAAGGCCTTAGAAAGACATTTTTTGTAACAGGAAAAAAATCAGTTGCTAAGACAGAAGATAAACTATGCAGGGGTCCCTGTTACACTCATATGGCCTTATGTAAGACAACGAATCTAGCTGGGAAGAACATTGGCTGCTTTCCTTTTTTTCATTTTCTTCATTTTTAATCTTTTATCATGTTCCTTTGGATGTCCTCACCCCATATGTCTGTGAGTTTCTTCAGCAGGGGAATATATAGTTTGCAATCCAATTAATTGATATGCATGGCAATACTTTCAATTTCAAAACTAGATGGTATTGGTTCTTTTTAAGAGTTATTGTGTATTTTTGAAGTGTTAGATGTGTATTTTTACGATGGAAATGGAGATGTTCATTTTGATTGTGTTGCATATTGCTGGTGATAATATACATAATTTTAATCTATTAGCATAATAAGATAGTTTC